AAGTAGGTTAATAGCGATATACTAATATACTAATTACATGGGATATAATAATATACTACACTAATAATGGATTTTTTCATACTTTTCGGTTATCCGACTTTTCAATTATCCGACCAACCCCAGTCCCCAATTGAGTCGGATAATCGATGCTCTACTGTAATTCAGCTACATCTCAACAAATATTCTCTTTTCATCAATAGAACTTATATAAATTTTTCAAATACTTGCTGCCAGTTATGTCAATCCGAAGATTTTTCTGCGCTTCACCTTCTGCAAAATTGCCAATCTCTAAGATTGTTTACATAGACCTCTAAATAATCTACGTAAACAATATGATATAAATATATGTAACAGTAGTTCATCTCTTGACTTTAAAACTAACTTAAATTGCATCAATAGAAAGGATGCTTATAAAATCTTTAATTACTTTGTTAAATTCACTGAAAAAATTCTCTGTAATACTTAATTATTTGTGTTTCATTGCTGATATAAATTTTTAATAATTTATATTTATAACACATTCTTAAGGCACTTCATACTAATGATGTTTATATATATCAGATATAATTTTATCATCACTCAAGTGCTCTTGTTAAACCATGATAGTTTATAATCATTACACCTATCTGTATTACAATCATGTAAACTAAAATATTAAATGATATTGTGTAAATGTTTTCCCCATTTATAGGGAAAATTTTCCTTGGAAATAAATTTGATTTAATTTAATAATAATTAATAAAATTTACTAAAAATTAATATTAAAATAAAACACACAACTTTAAAATTTAATGTTTTTTTTAATTAAATTTCCATTTGTAATTTATTCATATTTTATATCAATATAAAAACAGATCAGTGAATTAACTCTAATTTTTGAAAATAAATCAACAAAAAAAAGTTGGAAATCCCTGATTTTATAAAATCATTTAAAATAACTTTACAATTTCGGGTTCCATTAAATATCTTTTGTTTCTTTGCTTACTGCATGTGTTCAAAACAAGTAGTAGCAACGCATAATTAGGTAATATAAATGTCACCTTTATAGAACTTTTCGAACAAAGATCAAACATAATGTGTGTTAGACTGGATGTAGCTTTTCGGAGATTAGTAAAATCAAGTTAGACTCGCGTAACTGGTTATATAACAAAGAACAAAGAGTGCACAAAAGATTACACAGTCGTCACTCCCGGAAGGTCAGCGCTCGAAAGGGGAGAGTGAAACTAGGTCACCTTGCCCGAGGGGTCAGGAGCGCCACCAACCTTTTATTACGTCATAAGAACGTTACAGCACATCGCGATCGTTGATTCCAACACACCCCCTCAACGATTGATCGTTAATACAATCCGATATCGCGAGTAAATTTCTTAACTTTATTAGCGTCTAGCGGCTTCGTTAACAAATCGGCCATCATCCCTTCACTCGGACAATAGATTACAGTAATTTCTCCCGAATTCTTTAAATCACGTACAAAATGGTATTTTGTGTCGATATGTTTCGTGCGCTGTTGTGCTTTTCCTAATTCTAAAAGTCGAATACAACTTTGATTGTCCTCAAATATTTTGATAGGTGCTGTAATCGGTAGATTTATTTCTTCTAGAAGTCGTTTCATCCATACAGTTTCNTTAATCAAATAAATTTAAAGAGTAAATTAAATTATGTATTTCACTAATCGAAATTTACTAATTATACTAATTCGAAATTAAAATCTTGGATGTAAAAGTTGACATTTTATATATTTTTGCAAGGAGATCGATTAAGAAATCTTTTCTGAGAGTTTCCTTGTCAAAAATGTACATTTCAACGATTCTTTGTCCTGTGGGATTTGCTTTGGTTGTCGACCCTTCTGTCAGAAACACTCTTACAACCGAACAGTCGGTTGGGGAGATATTGGAAACGGATATAATGTAGTTCGTAGGATATTGACATCCGAGCACCACCCATGTCAACCCGTGCGAGACACCTGCTGTGCCACACTTATCCTCCTTGTGGGAATAATAAGGAAAAGATGGTAGGCTTACAGAGCCCGAAACCATTAAAGGAACCTTTTTTTTTTTTTTTTTCTTTTCTTTTGTGTTCTCCTTACGCTTAATTAGTTGTTGCCGTAACTGGGCCCATAACCTGTTAGACTGGATGTAGCTTTTCGGAGATTAGTAAAATCAAGTTAGACTCGCGTAACTGGTTATATAACAAAGAACAAAGAGTGCACAAAAGATTACACAGTCGTCACTCCCGGAAGGTCAGCGCTCGAAAGGGGAGAGTGAAACTAGGTCACCTTGCCCGAGGGGTCAGGAGCGCCACCAACCTTTTATTACGTCATAAGAACATTACAGCACATCGCGATCGTTGATTCCAATAATGTGTCACAAACTGGTGCTGATTTCTTTAACTATATTCACAGCTTTTCCAGCAAATAAATTTTTGTTTAAATCAAATGTTTTCAGCTGTTTATTTAGCCATTTTCAGGATACATCTTTTAGAAATGTATTATTTTTTTATATGTTCTAAAAGATGTATCCTGATGATGGCTTGCATAGACAACCAAAAACATTAGATTAAACAATAATTTATTTACTGAAAAAGGTTTGTGTGTGGTTAAAAAAAGATCTAATATGCTATAATTCAATTTTTGTCTTAAAGTTAACCAATTTAATCAAAAAAACATTCAGAACTATCATAAAAATTTCAATATACAAATTCATATTACAATAAAATATAAAGTTAGACTTGTCATTAAAAAATTTAGTTATATAGTTTAAACAAATATATAAAAATAATCATAATTATGCTAAGTGAGATAGCTAATGGAAATTTTTTCAAATAAGATTTTCCTATACCAAAAATTAGATGTCTACTAAATAAAAGGAGTCTAGCAAAGTCAACAAAGATAACAATCTCAATACTTATGAGAGATTTTAAAGATCTAGTAACTTAACAAAGTGAATCTAAATTATTAACACAGCAGCCTTCATATGTTATTTACATTCATAAATTATTGTTGCTATATGTTATAGAATATTAATAAACTTCAATACACATCATATATTTTAATCATAATAGTTAATTTACATTATTATAAAGTAAGATAATTAAACTAAAATAATTGTAGGAATGTAATATCATAGATAATTTACAGATAGAAATATATTCCCATCACCAAAATAAACTACTAAACACAAAATCTTATCTCCATTTCTTCCTCTCTGTTAAAGTTGAATGTATCACAAACTTGAATTGTTTCTTAAAAGAAAGTATCATTCAATGCATACTAAAAATTAATTGATTATAAAAAATGCATTAAGTAAAATATAAATTATTAAATGTTTTTATAATAATTTTTTATATTAAACCATTAAATATAGAAAGTTACTTTTGTACACATTTAAATAAATGAAAAAAATAAATTACTTTTATGATATTCTCTAGTATAGTTTTACATGTTGTTTTCATATCATTTCGCTTAATGTCTTTTGAACGGGTCAATACTCTGTATCTGTTTAAAAAATCCTGATATGACCATCTGCAAAAAAATAAATAAAAATAATTAATGAATTTATTTATTGCATAATATAAGATTTATATAAAAACTGAATCAAAAGGTTCACTCTAGAAAATTTCATTTGATCCATCATTCAAATGAAATTTTTAATTTCTTTTAAATAATGGATCAAATTAATTTAGAGTAAGTATGAAACTCTTAGATAATCTAATTTAACTTCAACTTAAAAAAATACCACTTGAAATAACTCCAGAACTTTGTTCACTTTATGATTATTTGTTAACAAATAAAAAAATTCCTGCAATCATTCTTCGCATACCTGCTGACATTCCAGAACTTTCTTCCAGAGCTCATAGTATTAATGAAATTTTCTGTAATCTCTATATCAAATGAAAATAGTCAAAGTCAATAGTCAAACTATTTTCATTGGATATAGAGATTACAGAAAATTTCATTAATACTATGAGCTCTGGAAGAAAGTTCTGGAATGTCAGCAGGTATGCGAAGAATGATTGCAGAAATTTTTTTATTTGTTAACAAATAATCATAAAGTGAACAAAATTCTGGAGTTACAGTAGAGCCTCGATTATCCGACTCAATTGGGGACTGGGGTTGGTCGGATAATTGAAAAGTCGGATAACCGAAAAGTATGAAAAAATCCATTATTAGTGTAGTATATTATTATATCCCATGTAATTAGTATATTGCTATTAACCTACTTCGCATTGAATTTTCATTGATGTTTGCCTAACAAAAATTTCTAAAGTAATAATTGTCACTATTGTGTCGTTAAAAATTAGAAAATTAAGCCTTGTTTAAATACTGGCTCCCTTTCATGCTCGAATGAGTGTTACCAGCTAAAACACGTAAAAATAATATTAAAGTAGCCAAGACATAGCCAAATATTGTAGTGCCACATCACTAGTGGACATTTGAAATTTGCCGACTAGAACGGTCGGTTAATCGGGGGTCGGATAATCGAGGCTCTACTGTATTTCTAATGATAATGGCTTTTATAATGCAAAGTATCAAACTGGAAAAAGAATTTGGAATATATAAAAAAAATCTTGTCCTAGTTTGAAAACATTTTTCAAACATTCCCATCTAGGGAAAAAATTTTCAAACATAGTAGAAAAAATAAAATTAAAATTCTTTACTATTTTGTTGGGCCCCTTCTTTGGCCTTAATAACAGCTTTAATGCAAGATGGTACTGACTTAAGTTCTGAGCAATAATCATCATTAATTTTCTTCTAACTATGCAGAACAGTAGCTTTCAATTCTTCATTTGTGGTAAGTCATTTCTCATCCACTAACATTTTCAGTTTAGCCCACAGATTTTCAACAACATTTAAATCAGGACTGTTTGGTGGCCAAGGTAAAGATTTAATCTCTCTTTTTTTCAAAAATTCTTACATTTTTTATACAATGATAATTTTAATTTTATCAGCCTAGAAAACAACTTCCTCATCCCCAAATTGATTTTCCATCACAAGAATCAGAAAAGTGTCCAAAAGTTCTTCATACACTTTGCCATTTACAGTTTCTTATAGAATGTGCAGATCTCCCTTGCCTTTTGCTAACATGCATCTCCATATCATAAGACAAACTAGGAATTTCTTCATATGCAAAAGACATTCTTGTTGAAACTTTTCATCTGTGCCAGCATTATCTCCACATTTAAAACAAAGTCTGCTCTTATCTGAAAAAATAACTTTATCCCAATTATTTAATAGTCCACTTTTTGTAACACCTTGCATATTCCATATATTTTTTTTTATGTGTTGTTTCATCATGAATGGTTTTATTTTGGTTTTACAAAACTTTTAGTGCATTTCACTTAATTGATTTCAAACTACATGATTGCAAACATTAGTATGGTGAACTTTCCACTTAACATTTAATTGTTTGATGTGGCTTTTTGATTTTGTAGACAGATGCATCTTATGACATGATCTTGATTCTTGCTTGTTGTGTTCAGTCAGCCAGTTTTCTTTAATGTTCTTACATATTCAAATTTCTCATATTTTGTCCAGGTATAGTTTACTGTTGAAATAGCACAACCAAGCTATTGGGAAACTTCTCTCTAAATTCTCTCTTCCAGAATCAAAGTCACATTTTAATCTTAAAAATCTTCACTATATTCTTTAACAAAACTCATTTTAAAGCAATAAAAATGTAAAAGCAATAAAAATGGAAATAGATGTACTGTACATATTATGTTCAAAGAACTAATTTGAATAAACTAATGTGATTATTGTTACAGAGTGTCTTAACATATTTATTTTCTATTATGTTCAAAAACTTTTTTCCAAGATGGGAATGTTTAAGAATTAGTTTCCAAACAGGGATTGGACAAGATTCTTTTTTTTTATATTCCAAATTATTTTTCTAGTTTGTTATTTTGCATAATAAAAGCTCTCATCATTAGAAATAAACTCCAGAATTTTTATTACTCTAGAATTTCTTGTTAACAAGTAAATAAAAACTACTACAATCAATTTTTGCATAGCTGCTGCTATTAAAAATCTTTTTTCTAGAGATTGCATAAAGATGGCTATAAAAATAACTTTTAGAATAAAACTTTTTTTTTATTATACAGATTCATAATTGTTATTAAATTTAGATACTTTTTATGTAAGTAAATATTTTTTTATTTTGAAAACTTTACTGTATCATTATTATATGATATTTTAAAAAAACTTTGAAATTTCTGTTTTTGACGAAGCCATAGTTAGAGGAGAAAAATGTAATTCTTATAATTTTATTTTATACTGATTTCAGAAAAAATATTACCCAATCTATTTCCTAAATAATTGGTGAATGATAAGTAAAAATAACAATTTTTAATAATTTCTTTATAGCTATCAAATACTACTCACAAAAGATAATCAAAAATGCATTCAATTCAAATTTGAAATTATTCATAAGGAATTTTGATTACCCAATGAATACAATACAGGCTACAATATTTTAAAAAATTTTTAAAACTAAGTTCAATTGATCTGATATAACTGTAAAAAATTAGAAATAATATTTTGTTGAATCAACTACATTTCAAAATTTATATTTACCTAGATTTTTATTTTAATATATTTCATTTCTTATTCAGTGAATATTAAATTATTTGATGATAATATTTAGAAAAAGACTGAAGATTTATCATTAGGATAAGTGACTTCAATGTTGATAGTAATAAAAGTTTTTTAGTTTACAGGAGAGAAATTGAATTAATAACAATTGATTTTCAGTAGAAGTATGTTTTATTGAGAAGTTATAATGAATTACAAAAATTCATTCAAAGAGAATCTTCATTATCAGACATTTCTGGAGCTTCAACATTAAAAATATGAATTAGAGAATTGATTGGAAGTATTAAAACTTTTAAAAATAATCAAAATAAAAATAATTCCAAAATTATCTAAAACATTTTCAAAACTTTCCAAACTCCAAACTTTTTACTACTCTACTATAGGTAAAGTAATAGAATACCTGTAATATAGTAGTAAACCTATCTCAAAAACACCTACTGATTGTCTTTATTTCATTAACCAATATTTATTTTATTATCTAAAATGGAAAGGGTTACACCTAAAAATTCTCCATAGGCATAAATATTTATGACTATGGAAAATTTTTATTTTTAACAGTTAAAAAATAAAAATCGCTTTTTTACATGATTTCTGGCAAATTGAAAATTTAATATTTTGATACTATATGCAACTCAAAGTGTTCTATCATTTACTATAATTCAGTCAAAATTGATGCTCTCACAATGTTATAAAAATCCTTTTAAAATGACATCCTTATGGTACTATCCAGTGTTCAAAAAATATTTAGCAATTTAAAATTTAAAGAAACCTGTCATTCTGAAAATTAATGTTAACTAAACATAAAATTATAATTGAAATATTTGTTTAGTTTTAACATATCATCTGTTAGTTATTAGACAAATATTTTAACAACAGTTTATTCAAAGAATTGCTGTTATAGTCAAATTTTTGTTTAAAAAATATTTACATGTTATAATCATTGTACATAAAATTTAATAATAGTCTTAAAACATAAAATGAGCATGAATGTATTCTTAATACTCTGTAGAAAAAATTTAGCTACAGTATTTGACTTAATAAAGCTGAACTGTGTTATACTTATTTCAATCATTTTTCGTTCTTGTCATTAGTAAAAAGTATAGAGATTGATTTTTGAATCAATTATGAAAATAATTCTTTTGATTAAATTATTTATTTTATTAAATATAAGTTTCTCTAGAAATGAAATCATTAGAAGTAATATCCATTAGCATGAAAGTTTCAAAAGCTTTTAAATTTTGACAATAAACCATAATAATTCTTACCTTGATGGAAAGCCAGCAGCACTAATTCGAACAGTTTCAAGAACACCACAAGCTCGCAATTGTTGCACAGCTCGACGAGATTCAAAATTAAACTGAGCTTTATCATCATTTGGTTTTATACATCTTACATAATGGGGAGTAGTTGAATTTAATGTTGACATTAATAATCCAAGTGATTCTCTAAACTAAAAAAAATATTTTTTTAATATTAAGTACAACTTACAAACACAATCAGTTTTATATAGGTAAAAATTTATTGTAACATATATTACCTATACTTCACATGTGTACATGTGTTTTATTTATTTATTTATTTATGCAAAAGTAAATCAAATTACTTTAACTAATATATTCAAGATTTCTACTCAAATTTTTGTTTTAAATTCAATGACTTTCCCTGTCTTCCCCTAAACCAACTTTGTACAAATTTTCTGACCTTCACATCCCTTACAGTGTGGCCCATTGACAAAATAAAACAGCATTTGACTTACTATGCATACATGCTATTGCTTCTTCAACTTTTTAGTTAGTTATTTTTTATAATTAACAGTTATATATTTTTTATAATTGCCAAATTATTAAAACTAAAAATAAAATGGTTTATTAAATTATAGTAGTTTATTCTGTTATTAATCCAACAACATAAATCTACATGGCTTTGAAAAATATAAAAAAAGCATTCATTTATTATTCATTAACAAATCCTGTTAATCCAGGATATTATTGTATTATTGAAATTATTTTCCTACCATGGCTATTTTGTCTAACTTCTAAAACACTCCTTTATATTATTTTAAATTATTTTAACTAAAGTTAATAGTTAAAACAGTTAATAAGCTAAATTACGTACATTTACAATATAAATAATTTCTTTAAATACAGAAACTATTCTAACCTCAGCACCGAGGTGAAATCTACACTACACTATCCAGAACCTGTAACTGGTGTGTGACACGCCAAGTGAATACACTCCGTCCAGGGAATTCCAGTTGACCTGAAGAAGAGCAAAGAGGTTGTTCAAAAACATTTATCAACAGCGGTATACAATATATATGCATCACACACCGGTTACAGGATCTGGATAGTGTGGTATAGATAAATAATTTCATTAAAACATTATAATTTTTTGAAATTACTTTAAAACAACACAAGCTGGGTCTGGGCACTGGTAATTAATACTGGCTTTATGTGCTTAGCCCATCAATGGCTAAATAGTTAAACACTGGTGGTAGGTTGCAGGTTTGCATCTCACCAATAGACTGACCACATGAAGTTTTCTGGGTTTTCTTCATGAATCTAGCACCAAAATAGAGTCAGTTTCCTATAGAAGGCATCCCTACCTGACAAATTGTCTAAGTATTGCATTGCCTTCTCCCATCAATCTATCCATTCTGAGATACTTAACTGCTTTCCTTATCTGATATCATTGAAAGCATTGTCTGAAAACACAAAAAATTGTTGTTCAGTCTGTAGTGCTGAACAGTGAAAATTTTCAAATTCAGTTATTTGATATAATTCAGATTTCTCAACAATGTGTGGTCTGCAAGCCTGCAAATGTGTTGACAGGGATCCTTGAATTTAGAGAATAAGCATATTATATTGTACAAATGAAAAAACATGTTTCTTGTATCATTTACCTTTATTAAAACACACATTAAAGTTTAAATTAAAAACATATCATTTAAATTAAACTGTTTAAAACAAAGACATTATTTTAAGAAACAATTATTATCTATACTAATATTATAGAGAGATAATGTTTGTAAGTTTGTTTGCAGCAGGTAATCTCCGAAACTACTCATCCGATTTCAAAAATTCTTTCACCAATATTTAGAATGGAACCTCAGGGTGGACATAGCTGTATATTATTCCATTAAACATTCATATAAATTAAAATATATAATCTAGGTTAAGGCTTTTATGTCGAACAGATGGCGCTATGAGTACGATGCCCTAAGTTTGCTTTTTTGTGAAAATGAACTAAAGCAGATCATCATCTATCTATCTATATAAAAAAAATGTAATGTTCATTTGTTCCTACCAATTCCTTTGAAATTTTGACACAACACTGCATTCGAATACACATGTGTTTTTATATACATGTTGAAATCCCCCTGGGAGATGGACAGATTAAGGCTTACCATAAATAATAACAATCCACGAAAAACCTTTTTTTACGAGTGTTATGTCACTATTAAATTCCACAAGTACTTTCGACCTCCACCGAGGTCTGCTTCAGGTGATGACTCAGTGGAGGTCTAAAGTACTTGTGGAATTTAATAGTGACATAACACTCGTAAAAAAAGGTTTTTCGTGGATTGTTATTATTCAACGCAGTGTTAAGTGGTTGGAAGTCGTTTATCTTAGCTTACCGTAAAAGAACTCTGCTTCTGTTTATACTATTTTAGATGCGGTTTTTTGCGTTTTTGATTGCGTTTTAATAGGGTACGTCAACAGAATATACACTACAAAGCGATTTTTTTATATTTTCCCCGTGGGGGAGAGGGACAGGATTAAGGCTTACCATGAAGAAATTGGCTTCTATTATACTATTTCAGATGCTGTTTTTTGCGTTTTTGATTGCATTTTAATAGGGTATGTCAAGAAAATGTACACTAAGGGATTTTTCGAAAAATTCCCCCCCATGGGGAAAGTGTTATACATTTATAATAGATACATTTTGAGCCACAACAACGCATGGCAGAGTCTGCTAGTTTTATACATATTTTCATTAAATTCTACTCTAGGGCAGTAGTCTGCCAATTTTTTTTTTTATTCAACAGGTCTACCAGAAGGTAAAGTTTGAGAAACACTAGGTTAATGCATGCCATTGAGATATTTTGTACTTAAGGCAAGTAGTTCTAACAATTTTTTAAAAATTGCACTAAGTTTTTCTTTACAATTTAAATAAATATATACTGTTGGTAATAAGAATATTAAAACTATTTCAGTGAAATGTTGACTTAGTGTGTGGGGGTGTTTATAACAGAAATGTAAAGAATATACAAATGCTACTCATCAATTTTGCTTTGTTACTGTATCTAAAAGACCAAGTTCTTAAGCAATTCTTTACACTTTGCACAATATCAAATGAACTAATTTTAATTTTTACTTTTTTTTTTCAATTTTAGATTTAATAAGTAAGTTTGATTACACATAAGACTTATTATTCTATTCAATTGTAAGATTGTATGTTAAAATCACTCAAAAGCAGACCTTACAAATATTTTTTATTTTCTGTTAATGTTCAGACAATTATTACAGACATTTACTTCTTTTACTAATAATGCAGATTAATTTTAAAAACTAATGTTGATTGTTTATGTGAAGAATATTATAAAAATGCAACAGGGAGAGCAGTATTGCAAAATGCCAAGGAATCAAACTAAGTCCCAAATATAACATACCACTATCAATTATCATTTGTAAATTTTAAAACAGCTGTATTAATTATGCAGCATTATGAATTTGAGAGAAAAGTCTTATAATAATCTAACATTAATAAAAATTTTTTTTAATGTTTTAATATCTCTTCTCTCTTCATTTTTCTTCAAGTTCCTCATAATTATCATTTACTCACTCAATTTGAGGGCAAGTGTGAATAAACTGATTAAAAAAATGATAAAGTACAAAAATGATAATTTTAATTTAGATGGTATTTATTTATCATTTTTTAATTTTGATGCATAACAAAACAATTTCTGATTTTTTTCCAGTTTTATTATTTTATAGAGTTCACAAAATTTATTAAAGGATAAATTTATTAAATATATACTTTTGTAAAAGAAAGCAAAAATGTAATCAAGAAGACATGTTTTGTACTAGACGGCGCTAGTTGGCTAGTGTCACATACTTTGGTCAAAGGTCACCTTCTTTGTTCTAGTTTGCTACATCCCTGTGTAGCACGTGTCTCCCCTCTCTTTGTGCATGTAGTCGTGTTACATATAACTGTGTATTTCCGTACATCGTAAGATATACGTTTACTTGCTTCATCTTCTGACAACTTTGTACATGGATAATAAAGAATTTGTTAATGAATAATGGCATTTTTCTAAAGCCATGTAGATTTATAGTTGTGGATTAATAACAGAATAAAAAAATTTTAATTTAATAAAACATTTTATTTTTTATTTCAATAACTCTGTGATTATACAAAAACATGTAACTGTTAATTAAAAAAATAACTAATTAAACAATTGAAGAAGCAATAGTATATGTGCATAGTAAGTCAATTGTTGTTTTCTTTTGTCAATGTGCCATATTGTATGGGATGTGAGGGTCAGCTGAATTTGTATAAAGTTGATTAGAGAAAGTCAGGAAAAGCCATGGAAAGCCATGGAATTTTAAAAAAATTTGAGTAGGAATCCTACACAAAAAACTATCTTGCAATTATTTATAGAGAATATCAAAAAAGGATGTATGAGAGAAGCAAGAACAATTTTCAATTTGCAAATTAGCTTCTGATGAATTTCCCTTGCTTAGATTGAGAAATTATGATGTTCTTAAGCTATAATAGAATAAGGCAAAACAAAAATTCAGCACAATAATTTTATTCATTTTAATTGATTTTAATATACTTAATTTTGCTACATAAATTTAATTTAGAAAAATATGAAGTGAGGAACTGATTAATTTGTTCTATATCTGTTTGCTTGTGACCTTTGTAATATTATCTGTTCTCATCTTAATTATCTCATTTCTCAGTCTTGTTCATATCCTGTCTCCTGTGCCACATTTTCTTTCACTTCTGTTACTTGCACTCCATTTTCTACTCTCTCTTCATTACTCCATACTGAGTCATTGTGCTGTAGAATACAAATGTTGTGTAAACTACAACATGCAGCTATAAGTTCTACCATTAAGTCTATGCGAGACATATCCAAATTTATTCGTCACCACGTGACCAAACGGTCAACATCGCGTCAGCGAAGATCACAATGACAAGTTTCGTCAGGACTGACACCACTGTGTCTTTACGGACAGACACAGAAACTGTTAGGTTCTCACGCAAACGATCACGTGTGTGAGTGAACGGATTCGGGATGGAGAGAGAGACAGCACACCAGAAGTGACTTATGCAGAGATGGGTTAACATAACAACTATTTAATGGGTAATTATAGGCCATTATATACAATTACATATTATACAACATCTCGATTTTAAATATGCTAGCTTTTAGATACATTTCTATGACTGATAGATATTAGATATATATATATTGGATATTAACGTTTTTGCAATTCCCGAGAGAGAATTTACAGAAGTTGCACGTGGCGATAAATAGCTTGTATGAAATCTTGATCTGCTGTAAGTCAGTCGAACACAAAAGAAGACAGTTCTGGATGACAGTTCTTATTTCTACAGTTCTTAGTTAACTAGATATTAGGCAAGGAGGTATCCAAAGGCAGAAATATATCCAAAGGCGAGGAGGTTATCCGAATATTTTAGCACTTGAGTGGTCCGATCGAGGAACTGGTGACGACTCCCCTCTTTGTTGTTCCGTTCTATATTTTGAACTGTTGAAATCGAGATATTAGGTCAAGAGGTGATGAGAAGGCATCATTGTTAGGCCTGAGAATTTAACAAATATTTTTTTTCCAGGTGCGAAAGTTGACAGTTATGTATCAAGTTTATAGTTACGATGCAACGTTAGGAACAAATAATGTAAACACACGGAAAGTCTGGATTCAGATCCTCACAATTGCAATAGAACAGAAACAAGATCTTTCAGTAAATTTTCAAATGTAAATTGACTTACTTGAAAATGTTCTTTAAAAACATCTGGCCTATATTCCAATACAATCTCTGAAATATAGTTTGTTATTTGCATATTGATTCCTTTCACTTCTTACTTTTATACTGTGCTTAATTAACAAAAATGAATTCTTTTTCCTTGGATTCTGAACCTAAATCTGATAAAATCTCTAAAATCACTCCCAAACATGCCACCATGATGGATCCTGTATTGTGTATAATATATTGTATATTGTGTATTGTATACTACTTTTATATTGTGTGTTAGTTGCAAAAAGCAAACTAACAAACATGACAGAAGCAATCTATATCATGTGACAAAGACTGCTCCAAGCTTACAGATTGATCCAGCCAAAACACGTATATGCAGCATAGGTGTGTATTTAAATATACCTATGCTGCATATACTTGTCAAAAGTTTAAATATGACTTTTGATACAGTAAGATTTATTGGTTCTGTGAAAAATTATTCCCTTTTATATAATTATTCCTACTTTAATAAGGATTTAAAATTATAAGCAGCGTGATACAGACAAATGTACACATATTAAAATATATTTTCATATAAAACTTATTCATAATTTTAATTTTACTGCACAATTCTTTGACAAGTCCCTTGCAAAATACTGCCTTTCACTTTGCATTATACAATACAGTGCAAATATCAACTTAGATGTTATAATGATGCTTGCACATATTTTGCATGAGAGTGATTTTCCAATCACTTCCAATATAACAGTCATTACAATCATAAGCGGAATCCTTGTGACTTCACTTATAAAGGCATTGTTCCCTGCCTAGCTGTATTAAAACCTAGAATTTCATGTGTGACAACACCACACAAGTCAGTTGTATTTCAAGGGTGCAGCAAATGTAATTTTAAGAGCATGGAGATAGAGGATACACAAAGATGTATCTTTGATGTAATTATCAATTTCCACAACTGTAATTTGTTTTGAAATAATATTATTACACTTTGTTTCATAACTCCTGAAATTCATTAGAAACATTATATGCATATTAAGGGGACATTAATATGATTAATATTAATATAATTTGAAGTAAAATATTTCCCCAAAAATCAAAACCACATTCAGGACAGTATGTAAACCAAATTAAATTGATATTTGCCCAGTAGTTTTTTTTTTACAAAAGTGCTCTAAATGCTTACACTTTAATTATAATCACCTTATATTAAGCAAATGATTACAGTTAATAGCAAATAATGTTAAATCTTATTGATTTATCAAAATTACAATATTGAAATTTGTTCTAAACTGTGAAATTTTCCTTGTTAGTCATATTTTCAATCTATTACTGTGGGGTGTGGATTTGAACCCAATCATGAACACATGATAAAAGTCAAAGATTGATTCCCTTTTCCTATCTCTGCCCCATAGCAGGAAAGACCTTCCCACAATAAGCAAACAGTTGTAATTATTTGTCATATATAATTTTGTTCAAAGTAATCAAATTTTATTTTGTTGAATATCTTATATAATAAATACCTGTGATCCAACAGTTTTTTTATGTTGTTTTTGAGATGATTTAGATGGAGCTGAAGACTTTGACCAAGATGCAGGTTTTAATTTTTTATTGCATTTATCTTCTTCAAATAACTCAGCAACCAATTCATACTAAAAAATAAAAATGCATGGTTATAAATATTTTTACAAATTAGAAATAAAAAGACTATACTATTCTTTTATTATAAAATTTATTAAATTTCAAACATTTACATAATCACAAATTTTTACTAATATTCAGCATTTTACATACAAGTTCTTAATTAAAATAATCATGTTTTACAGATAACTTTTTTTATCTAAATACATGCAAATACATATAAAGATAGTTATCTAAAAGTATTGAATGTACAGGTTAAACTATTATTTCAACACTATAACGCAAAACTATAACAAAAAATTGAATTCAAACAGAAAAAACTGTGTGGTTATTATTATGCTTTTTAAAATAAGTATGCTAGTAATAATTGGCATATTTATTAAGAAACAATGAAATCTCAATCAAATTAAACAAATGAGTCATCCAAATCATATATGTACAGTACATACAAGAAATCATTTGGTTCTTTCAAACATTTAATAATCAGCAAAAGCTTTAAAAATTTTTTCATAGTTTCAATATTTACTGGATCTATTTATAAGGGACAATTATTAAAATATTTACTATGTTTACTTTCATGAAACATGGTAGATATAGATTATTTTATTATTTCAGAAAAAAGAACAATTCTATATTACATTTGAAAAATCCAGGATACTAAAGTTCATTAATTAAAAACATGAACATTTTATCTTTTACATAATTTACTAAGATTGTAGTCTCAGTACAAGATTCAAATATAAGATTGAAAACAATTCAATTATTTTATTCTAGATTAATGTTTTAAAATAAACATTCTAAATAATTACATTTTTAGAGTTTTAGCATGTAATGTTTTTCTCTAAAAACAATGTATATTTTTTAAGTATTCAATACTCCTGGGAATAAGTTAACTCTTCAGAGAGTTAGATAAAATAATGCTATTGCTTTGCCACTACTGCTTTTCAAACAATGAAACTACAATCTTAATAAAAATTTAATAGACTAACTATGATCAGTGCAAAGTCTACTACAATCTGTGCCTGCAAGTTATAGTATTAATTATGATTTAGAATTTAGCTGCTGTTAAGATGAAAAATTCTATTTTACTCAAGAAAGCAAAAAATATAAATAAAATTAGATCTTAAAAAACAGTAACTGGAAAAATATTAAAATGTCCATGTAATAAATTAAATTATAGTAGAGTGTCGTTTATCCGAAACGTCGGTTATCCGAAAGAATTCCAGTCAGCAAATTTAAATTTTCGCTAGTGCTGTGGTGCTGCAATCTTTGGCTATATCTTGAGCTACGCTAATGTTTTTTTGTTGCTGTGTGTGTTTTAGCTGGCAGCACTGGCACTTTTGTGTAGTGTATTTCTGAAGACTGTGTGTCGTGCTGAATCAAACGTTTCTGATACTAGATTAACTTCTAAAGTATAATTTTTTTTTGTTTTTATATTTTTCAATATATTTATTTTGTTTGTAAAAAATAAAGAAATAATTTTTAATGATACAATAGCCATGATTATTATTTTAAAAAGTTTACATTAGGCTTAACATCGACGAAAATTCAACGCGAAGCAACACGCAACAGAGAAAAATTTCAACATGGGATAGGTTAATATATTTTTTCGTACATAATCGGTTATCCGAACAATCTTAGTCCCCAATTGATTCGGATAAACAACGCTCTACTGTATCACTCAAATATTATGTGAACATTAACAAATTAAACCCTTAAGCATAATATTTAATATACTGATATTCTAGTGCTGTTTTACTTTAATGAAATTTTCTATTACTTTTTAAATTGTAAAAATTTTTATATTTTAAGAAAGTTATCATTAAAATTATTTTGCACAATACCAAAACTATAAACAGTTTACCTAATAATAATGTTTTTAATTATTGAACACAACTGTTATACCTAAAAACAAATATCATGATAACTTTTATATGAAAATATTACATTAATTTTTTAAATGTTAAACTTTCAGCAGTGGGATAGTCAGGTATGATGCTACCCCAAAGTAGTGGAGAATAAACATGGGAAATTTTTAAAGTATTTTTCCATGTGTTTTTTCTCATTACCATTTCGGAAAAAGATTTTGTAAACAGTTATGTTTAGTAAAGAAAAGTCTTTTTTATTGTTACATAATTCATTTTTTATGTGAAATTTTTTTCGCAGTAGTTTTTGGCGATACCCCCAAAAGAATTTAACGGATATATCCATCCCTCACCACTGCCACACGATCGCCCTGGATGGATATATCTGTTCCTCACAGTTGAGTGGTTAATAAATTATATTTTGCTTTATTTTATAATAAGTTACTTACATGACTTGCAGTTAAAATATTAATATGCTCCTCCATCACTGTATCTCTGTTTTTTTCTAGAAATCCAGAACATTCATACTTTACATCATCAGCAAAATGTTTTATTATAAATGCTGTATTAGAAAGACGAGGTTTATCAAAATGTTTCCATTTTTTACAACAGTCATATAATTTCTGACACCATGTTTGATCTGTACCCTTAGGCATCTGTATGAAAATAATAATTTATAATTTGTTTTTTTTTAATTAATTATATTTTACTGAAACTTATACAAACCTTACACTCTTCATCCAACAAATCTAAGATTCCCAATTTACTTTCAATAAGATCAATACAAGGTTGATTATCATAAAAATCAATAAATTTCCATTCAATTTTTTCCTTTACATATTCTTCTTGTTCCAATTTAAAAACATGCTATATTACAAAAGTAATTAAAATATTCATTTCACATGTAATAAATACAGCAGTAATAATTTTTAAGTAGCTGTTAAACAAATATATGTGAATGCTAATTTATAATATTTTTTAATATTAATTGATATTACTTACAAGATTAAACTGCTGTTGAAGTTTTTCATTTGCATAATTGATACAAAATTGTTCAAAACTATTAATTTCAAATGTTTCAAATCTGTTAAAAGTTCAAAAAACATTTTAAATATTTAAAGCATTATATATAATAATGGAAAGCTACTGTTAAATAAATTCTCTTTGTTATAGTGTATATAAATATTAACTGTAATTGCTAATTTTATTTATTTGAAAAACAAATTGAATTACATTACTAATCTATTCTTGTGACCACCACTTCTGAGATATACTACCAGTAATTTTATTAAATAATTTTAGTAATTATAAAATTTATTAAATTTCAAACATTTACATAATCACAAATTTTTACTAATATTCAGCATTTTACATACAAGTTCTTAATTAAAATAATCATGTTTTACAGATAACTTTTTTTATCTAAATACATGCAAATACATATAAAGATAGTTATCTAAAAGTATTGAATGTACAGGTTAAACTATTATTTCAACACTATAACGCAAAACTATAACAAAAAATTGAATTCAAACAGAAAAAACTGTGTGGTTATTATTATGCTTTTTAAAATAAGTATGCTAGTAATAATTGGCATATTTATTAAGAAACAATGAAATCTCAATCAAATTAAACAAATGAGTCATCCAAATCATATATGTACAGTACATACAAGAAATCATTTGGTTCTTTCAAACATTTAATAATCAGCAAAAGCTTTAAAAATTTTTTCATAGTTTCAATATTTACTGGATCTATTTATAAGGGACAATTATTAAAATATTTACTATGTTTACTTTCATGAAACATGGTAGATATAGATTATTTTATTATTTCAGAAAAAAGAACAATTCTATATTACATTTGAAAAATCCAGGATACTAAAGTTCATTAATTAAAAACATGAACATTTTATCTTTTACATAATTTACTAAGATTGTAGTCTCAGTACAAGATTCAAATATAAGATTGAAAACAATTCAATTATTTTATTCTAGATTAATGTTTTAAAATAAACATTCTAAATAATTACATTTTTAGAGTTTTAGCATGTAATGTTTTTCTCTAAAAACAATGTATATTTTTTAAGTATTCAATACTCCTGGGAATAAGTTAACTCTTCAGAGAGTTAGATAAAATAATGCTATTGCTTTGCCACTACTGCTTTTCAAACAATGAAACTACAATCTTAATAAAAATTTAATAGACTAACTATGATCAGTGCAAAGTCTACTACAATCTGTGCCTGCAAGTTATAGTATTAATTATGATTTAGAATTTAGCTGCTGTTAAGATGAAAAATTCTATTTTACTCAAGAAAGCAAAAAATATAAATAAAATTAGATCTTAAAAAACAGTAACTGGAAAAATATTAAAATGTCCATGTAATAAATTAAATTATAGTAGAGTGTCGTTTATCCGAAACGTCGGTTATCCGAAAGAATTCCAGTCAGCAAATTTAAATTTTCGCTAGTGCTGTGGTGCTGCAATCTTTGGCTATATCTTGAGCTACGCTAATGTTTTTTTGTTGCTGTGTGTGTTTTAGCTGGCAGCACTGGCACTTTTGTGTAGTGTATTTCTGAAGACTGTGTGTCGTGCTGAATCAAACGTTTCTGATACTAGATTNGGGGTTTCGAACTAAAAAACCCCAAGAAATATCACACTATCATTAAAATAAAAAAAAAAATTAAATATGAAATCATCATTTTATACTAATGAAACCGTGTTTTATATTTCTTCCTTACACAGTCACAATGTAGTGACAACTTTCAAACACTAGGCAAATTTTTCATCTTTTTATTCAGTTGGGATGCTTTCTACAGCACACATTTTGGGCTCCTGCCCCTCCTCAGCCAACTTAAAATTTTTCCATATGCAACAAATACATATATACAGACAACACAACATTTTTAGACTAACACATTCAGATTGTTTTCTTTTGCTAACAGTAACCAGCATACTATTACGCAAATTGTCACTACATTGTGTCTGTGTAAGGATGAAATTATCAATTATAGAGAATAATTTCAATTCTTGTGATAAACAAACTCAAATATTTATATCATAACATATTTGTATTATACAAGAGAAGTAATTACACTTATATAAGTGTAATCTGCAATACTTTTACAATACAAATATTTTGTTTTTCTAAATTTGCCTTATGTAAACTTAGAAAAGCAAATTATAAAAGATAAAAATTATATCTATCCAAAATTCAGACAAAGCAAAAGAAGGATGACATCAGCAGCTAGTATATGTCAACTTTCTGACCTGAGAGAATGTCAACTTACACTTTCTCAGCATCAGTAGTGACATCTTTTCCATAATTTTTAGTCACCTCTAAGATATATGCTGCTTTGAATATGACAAGGAATGATTGATTCCAGTCAGTCATCACCTGTTCTTTCAAATGTTCAATTTAGTGTGTTTCTGTGCTTTTTTGGATTAGTGCTCTTCTGTGCCATCGGATTCCTTGTCATTCCTCTACTTGCTGCTTCTCTCCCAAACTGCTGTGTGAAGTACTACATTCTAAAGATCTTCAATGGGTATTCTAGTTTTGGTTTGTGAGGTACCAAAAATTCTCTCTCCGCGAAATGCAAATACCCTTGTGTTGTACCAACTTCATGCTATCTAATAAATAAATGTTTAAGTGTAGTAAATTGTGTTGACTGAATTATTTCCAACTGAATCTCATCCTTTCCTACTTCATCCTCTTTCCCATAGTCTCACATACAAGACCACATTATTGCCATCTAGAAAAATGCTCAAAACTTGTGTAGTAGGTGTAGGGTGTCAGAATTAACACAATACCATCACAGAAACCTTACAATATTGTTGAAAATCAGATTTAGTGGCTTTCTATTGGAAAAAGATTAATCACCAGACTACATTAGACATTGAGAGTATAAATACAAAAACAAGATCTAATATATGATCTCATTTTTCTATTTATACTCTCAATGTCTAATGTAGATCATATTAGATTTTGTTTTATATGGGATTTGTTTGTCAATAGGAATCGTGTAAAAGACATTCCACATAAACTTGTACTCCACCCCAAATAATCCCAAATAGTTGCATAAACACAATCATTTACAAACAACAGAAAATGTTAACGTACATTTAAAAAATTTACTGTTAAAAATGTTTTTTACTGTAATAAATGACATTTTAGTCTAATGTTTCTAAATTTAATGAAATCTCATTATAACAAACCTTGTAATTGTGAGCTTTTTAGAATAACAAACTTTCAGATTTCACCCAACTTAACCTCTGTAGGAACCTACAACAAAATCTTTCAATTCTATATACATGTGAAATCCACAAATTTTACATAGTTGTCGGGAAAAAAATTGTAAACATCTTCATTAGAAAAAAAATGGAGAGATAGAAATTAGATCGGAGGTCTCTGAATGTAATAACAAGTCAGTGGGACAGTTGACACTTAGCTGTCAAGAATGCACCGTCATAGTCAACAAAAATTGATCACATGTTAGATTTCCCACGACAATGATATAAAAGGTGCAAGCCACTGAAAGCTCAGGAATTTGCACATGGAAGTTATATTTGGTCATAGTGATTCCTCGTCTCCCGCAACGGTAGAAGACTTCGACAACGCCCAACACTTCCACAAAGAACTTTCATCATTGCATATAAGACTCCTCCAACTTTAGAGGTAATTTTTGAGCAGACTGCAAACTCTTTCTCTTGGAACGGAAGTAGTCATAGCTTTCATAGCATAGACAAGCAGTTGTCGATCATATTTACTTTCAAATCTTATGTTAATTGCATTTAACCTTAGTACTCCTGTATTTTAGTGTTAGCTGTAGTGATGTGCCGATCATTAAAAATGTATATCCGCGGATACAGATCATTAGAGTCTAGATCCGCGGATACGGATACAGATCTCAACTTTCGTACTCAGTTGGCGCCGGTGCGTGTGACCTTGGACTGATAGTTGACGCTTTGCGTTAATAACGCGACGTGTTTTGACTTGCACAGTGTGTGTTTTTGTTTATAGTGTGAAAGTGTGCTAAATTAGAATTCACCACAAAGGCAGACAGGATAAAGTAACAAAAGTTGATATAATTTTCCAATTAAGCTATTTCGCGTCTTTATAGTGTGAAAGTGTGATAAATTAGAATTCACCACAAAGGCAGACAGGATAAAGTAACAAAAGTTGATATAATTTTCCAATTAAGCTATTTTGCGTCTTTATACAGATTCTATTTTGAGGGATTCCAACTTCACGGTACAAACAGTAGCATGCGAAATTACAGCGATAATAATAGTTCGCTGTGTCCAAAGCACGTGTACAATACAGATCCCGATCGTGACAATATAACCCGGAACCTTAAAACTAACCTTAAACACTTACTTAACACTAATAACAGAAAAAGGGATAGAATTAAGAAGACAGAAAAAATGGTAGATAAGATAGAAATAGGGATATCTGGGGTTTTGTCCCTTTTTTCGGCTTGTTTCTTTATGCGTACTGTTGGGTGGGATAACACACGTCCTTCTCCTATAACTGGCCAGTTCTCTTCTTCAATAATTAGGATTTTTCCTTCCACAGTCGTCAATACGACCTTAAAACATGATCTTTTTTCTGAACTTATTTCTGAACTATCCGGTCATTGAAAATACGACTCCCAGTATTCTCACCTCGTCCGTACACTCTGCCGTCCGGTTTACGAATGACCTGCTACGTCACTTCTCTTTTTTCTCCGGCTCCTGTTTACACCTTTGCTCCTCAAATTTCTAGGAACTGCTCATCCCACCCAAGGGACAGGGAATAGATAAGAAAGTTCTAGAAGAAAATAGAACAATAGAACAAAGGGTAGAAAGAAGAAACGAAACTAAACTAAAATTAATATTTACAAAAATATAGCGTACCGCCACAATAGTTTAGTGCAGTGTTTCCCAACCTTTTTTGTGCTATGCCCCACCTAAGCCTTTCTAAAATTCTTATGTCTCCCTAACATATACAGCGGCTATACGGTTAACTTAAACTCTGGACAAGTCCATTTTCAAATTGCCCTCCTTAGCAATCCAATTGACCCTGTGGGGCGTGGGCCCCAC